TGTATGACAGTGTGATGCAGTGTGATACACTGTGATACAGTTTGACTCACAGTGTAATACAGTGTGACAAAGTATGACACAATGTGCAACAGTGTGACACTGTGTGCCACAGTCTGAAATAGTGTGACACTGTGACACAGTGTGGCTGTATGACAGTGTGATGCAGTGTGACATAATTTGACACATTTTGTGGCAGTGTGACAGTGTGAGACAGTGTGAGACAGTGTGACAAAGTGTGGAACAGTGTGACACAGAGTGACGGAGAGTGACACAATGTAACAGTGTGAAACAAAGTGACCTAGCGTGACAGAGTCTGGTACAGCGTGACACATTGTGAAACATTGTGATGTGTGATGGGTGGATGACCTTTCTAACCAGGTCTGCAGGCGCAACCAGAATAGAAAACATCCTGATGAGGAGCTTTGATTAAAACGTGTTGGCAGAGATGCACTGTGATGGAACAGATCCACGTGTTTCTGGTGACAACAGCTAAAAAAATTCCCCAAGTTGACTGAGAGAAATTTTCATTTTGTTTTTATAAATGAATCAAAACAAAATCTCTCATGGCCTTTGATCCAAACACCTGTGGTGTGGAAGCATCAGGGCAGACACCCAGCCAGCTGCATGCAGTTCCCACCCACCTTGGAAGCTCTTGTTGATTTCAGAGGGGAAGGAGTTTCCCAACATCACGGCAGTGGAGTTGATGATGATTTCTCGGCTTCTGCCCTGTGATCCAGTCACCTCCCGTTTCCCTCCACCACCATCCAGCCGTAACGTCATCATGTTGTCATGTCTGTCCAAAAAGACCTCGTGCCACTCCCCGTTGTCAAGGCGATAGCTGGGCAGGGTTAAGTTGTAGTGTCCGTCACCAAGGTTGTAGAAAACACAAAGAAGGCCTTGAAAGATCTGGAGATGGAAAAAAGACATAAATATGGAGATGGAGAAAACAGCCACCTCACAAGAAAGACGAATAAAACTGAAGTAAGATACTCATGGCGCATTCAAACATGTTTTCACTGATTTACATGCAAAGTCTATGGTGGACACGTGAGGTTTAAAGACATCTGAAAATTACTTTTTCCAACTTAACACAGCAAATAAAAGCAAGCCATTCTCTCGACTCCATCTGTCTTTTTGCATTAGAGATTTTGCATTAGAGATATCTACAAAATTCAATTCAGTTTATTTCTATAGCGCCAATTCACAACACATGTCATCTCAAGGCACTTTAAAGTTCACCAGAGCATCCAGTCAGATTGATTCAAACTTTTCCATCTAAGGAAAACCAGTTGATTGCATCGACTCGTTGACTTGAAGGCAATCCCTCACACTAAGCATGCTTGTAGTGACAGTGGAGAGGAAAAACTCCCTTTAAACAGGAAGAAATCTCCATCAGAACCAAACTAAGTGTTAGCGGCCATAAGTGTTCTTCTGCTTTTTAGAAACAGGACTACACTGAAAAACATTCTACATATTTCTAACTTCATTTGAAGTAAATGTTGAGTGGCTAAGAGTTATTAGGGACCGAGGCTCAGTGGCACACATCAAAAAGACATAAAGCCCCCCTTGGTCTGAGAAGGATTACAGTAGATCGATGAGGTCATTTAGGCATTTTTTTTTTTTACATCTCTAGGAACTTGTTGCTCTTATTAAAGATATGCAATATACATACAGACTCCACTGTAAGGAGAAAATATGCCACAGAAAGATGTGAAGAAAAGTATAGTGGATAAGGGAATTAGAGAGAGAAATGAATGAACACATTTATTTAAACAAACTGCACCCAGAACCTGATATAAAAACAGATCCACTTTTTCTTGATTTATTTTAATGCTAACGCCTTCGTCTCATTCATTCAGCTGGGAGGGCTGGGAGTCCAGGAGGGGCGAGGAGAGAGTAGGATAGAGAGGGAATATGTCCGAAGGCTGTTTTGAGAAAGGGTGGTGGGTTGGTCGTCCTCATTTCAATTTCAAACTGATCCTCCAAGTGTCCCACTGAGCATAATTTCCTCCCCTCCATCTTCGTCTGCCGCTGCTACCACGTAAACAGAGAGCAGAGACGAGAGGGGCGGGGAACTGAGACAAAGGAGGAAAGATATGAAGGAGATGTGGGAGGTTACCATTAACTTCACCACTTCTGCTCAGCATTATAAAGAGAAATCAGGGTTCTGAAGGAAGACCTTCAGAAACAGAAATATTTAGCCTAATTTCGTAACCAAATAATGTCCATATCTTTGCTGTTTTTCTGCCTCCTAATTCATTTGTTAACAATTCCCCACTTTGTCTTTCAGCAAAGGAGTGTTAGACGGCTCCAAAGTTGTTTGGCATTGGATCGAGGCTCATTCCAAGGCTCTATTATGAGCTAATAATTACGTTCACATTCCACCAGGGCAGAGCTTTGTAACAAGGCTTGCTCACAGCCACCTGATTTAACCTCAATTAAAGCCGAACGGTGCGATTTGACTCCCGCTTTGCTCCCTTGGTGGCAAGTAAGGGAAGGTAGTGAATGTTTTGACAAGTTTCTACAGGAGCAGCTCCAACTATGTCTGTGGGAAGGTGTGCAGCCTTTTTTTGCACTCAGCAGTTACACAGAAGGGAAGAGAGTAATCCCTCAGGGCCCAACTGACACCTGCTCATGTTTATCTATTTATAGAAATAGCCAAAACACAGTCACACGGTCTTTCATCCACACGTCTTTCAAATGGGGCTTTAACATTTCTAAAACATGTTTCAAAAATTATTTTTTACAAATACAATTTGTTTTATAGATGTGTAAACAAATCAAATGAGATTTAAAATTTCACCTGACATGTCCGACCCTGCCGGAGCAATGCAACAGCAGGTGTTCATTTTTAGCCACGCCCCCTAATGGCATCAATGACATAAATGGAAACTATAGGCTCAGACCTTTCCAAAGAGGGGTTGGAGGTAATTGTGCGACCATTTCAGGTGATGTAACTGGAATGCATTACATAAGCTTGCTCTATTATTCTTATTCTTTATTCAGTTGGGTGATATTATTGGTAAATGTCAATAAAATAACAGCCAAATCTTAGCCTCATGCAGAAGGTCTCAAATAATCTAAATCAGCATATTTGTCTGACCAGATTACCTTTTATGAGTGAAAAATACATTTTTGCACATTTGGCATTGTGTCACACTGCCCACTAAAACCTTTGTGGAAAAAACATGCTTTATCTTATTCAGTCCAACTTTGCTTGACTTATAGTCAAGATGTGGATCTATAGAGTCTGAGTGTTCATCCAGAGTTCCAGATGGGGTTACTTAGACTTAGACAGATTTTATTTGTCATTTTGCTTACACAAGTGTAAAACAAAAAGAAATTTGTTTGAAACAGCTGTCTGGACAATTTTATCTTTTTCATGGTGGTTTGCAGCGTTTTCTTGGAGAAAAATTTGGTTAAAGCTCAATATATATATATATATATTTTTTTTGTTTAATCACCTATAAATCATAGTGACATTTTAAACAGTGGTTTCATCTGAAAAATATTCCTCAATGCCTTTCTGTCACACAGAAACATACAACAATATTCATGTGCTTGTGTTTTCAATAAACCTTGTTAAACTTTTTATCCTGCCTCCGTGTGTGTTCTGCATATTGGGCTTACTCTGTAACCCATCATGACAAAGTATACTTTAGTAAACTTAAAAATGTCCCAATTTAGTTCGAAGAAGTATTACTTTAGTAATAATTCAAGTACACTAAAAGTACATTGTTCGGTATACTTTCTAAGCTTATACTTATACTTAAGTATTCTTAATAGAATTTACTTCAAGTATACTACAATTTGCTAATGCTGGGATTTTAAGGCCTAATTTAAAGATGTGTATAACTTTAATTCCTTCCAACCAGCAAATGTTGCAAACACGCTCGTCTGTTCGTGTTCTGTAATGTCTGCCAGCCAGCTGGAGTTCCAGTCACCAAGAAGTAATTTCTCAGCTCCGTCATGGAACTGCTAGGATCAACTACAGAGCTCCATCTCCCCTCACCTCAACCTGCTATAGTTAGCATCACAGTGACGTCACACATCAGAGTGCGAGCCTAGTGATGATTTCTGCCATCTTAGGAGGGGTAAACAATCTTAGAAGGCGTCCGCTGACCTGTGTCTGCCAGGAGGTAGGACCAAAAAACAGTCCTTCTAGGGCTAAATTTAAACCGCTTTTTAAAAGCAATCCTTAAACCTCTACAGAGCATTCACACTCTATCTTTTGTTTACAATATTTTCTTGGATTTTGATTAAATAAAGATAGTCTCTGCTTCCTCCTTTGCCGAAAAAGTGGTCAAGTCAGGAAACTTTCCCATCTCCTGATTTTCAGACTTAATAATTCAATGACAATGCCCAGAGATGGGGGATCTGGAGTCAATAAGTCATCTCTATGTCATGTATTTGTTCTGCCCAGCTACTAAAGCCGGTGAGTCAAATCTGCACAATCAATTAACCAGTGTTTAGATTGGACGATTCTGAAATCTCGTTTCAGAATGTTAAAGCGCAGCTCCAGTTTAGGACATTTGATTTCCCTAACAATTATTTAATGGTTTAGGCCTTAACAGGGGTAACCAGTACTTATTTGGCTCAGGATACAAGCGTGTTTTTTTAAATAATAATAATAACAATAATTTAACTTTTACACTTTTTCTACACTTTTACTTACGCTGGAGAAATTTACTTCTGCATTTAACCCATCCCATTGGGGAGCAGTGGGCTGCCACTCTGCAGCGCTTGGTGAGCAGTGTGGCGTTAAGAGTCTTGCTCAGGGACCCAGAGTGGAGGCTGTGGGGATTTTGCACCCTTCTCAGACAACAAGCACAGTTCTCTAACCACTAGGCCAACATTACCCATAACTTTATCTTTTCTGCACTTTTTCTGCAAAAACACCAGACAGACACAACTTTGCCAAGCAACAGGCAGTGGATCAGGAGTCATTTCAGTACCTTGTTGCTACAGCAGCGAGTTAAGTCTAAAGAGATGTAAGTTTTCTACAAATGGGTTGATTGGATCAAGGCTGGCTCATATCAGAAATTAGGGGAACCACACCAAAGTCCGACAGGTAGTGAGCCAAGACAACCTCAAAAAGTGGGTCTTGGTTTGTTTGTTTGAGAGTATGTTCACACCTGCACATGCTACGATATGACCAAGGAAGGGACATCTGATGTGAAAACAGCATTAACCTAATAACAGTAATAAAGAGTTCTTTAATCTCTTTCATCTCATAACTAATCAAGGTGAAAAACTGGGATTGCATCAGCAGTACCCCAAACCAGTGTCAACAGAACTATCGCTTAATGGATAAGGTAGAAGATGGTGAATTCATAACGGCTAAAAGACTGTAATTTATTTGTCATTTTTACCTCTAGGAGCTCACATTTGCTGCTGTGCTGCTACCTACCGCTAACAAAGAGTCTGAGTAATCAGGTGTTCATAAGGCAAGCTGTTCTCTGAAAACAGCATCTGCCAAACTCTACAGGCATTTTTCTATTCCACGAAGTTCAACTGACCTGCAGAGTGGGGCACTGACAAGTTTGGTCAAGTATTTCATTCTTACATGCAGAAAGCCTTGTAAAAATAAATGAGCTCAGCAGTGTGACCTTTACCAAGCAGCAAAATGACAGAGCAGCATTTTAATGCCTTATCCTAATCAGAGAATGTCGGGTTACACGCTGTCCCTGTGACTTTGAAGAAATCTAAATGGCACTACCTGGGTAAGAAAGAATAGGATGCTCCCAACCTTTCCTCAAAGGAGATGACAATTTATTAAATCTTCTTAACTGAGGCACTGGAAGTGATAACGGGAGAAAACCTACAGCTCACATTTACATTTCAGACAGTTTTACAATATGATGGCAAGTTTGATTTTACACCTAGCATGGACATGGTGAACATTATGATGGGATACCAAGCCCCCATGATAAACTCCATATAAGAGCCCTTTTCAAATGGGGGAATAAACAAACCAGTATGAGGTGTCTATGTACCTTCATCACATTATTAATACATAATACTGATATTTTTTAAAGATCCACTTCTGGATGAAGCGGGACACGACGAACACCAGTTAACTATTAGTAACTATCTTAGCACATCAGATATCCTGTTTCAGTGTGACAGAAAAGCAGAAGTAATCTGAATGGGGGCAAAAAGTTTTCTCCCACCGGTAAACAGTGTCTATATCTCCAATATTTAATTTCTATTCAGTTCAGTCTATTTATACATCGTCAATTCACAACCAGTCATCTGAAGGCTCATGGAGCAGCTAGATTCTTATGAATATTAAAAATAGAGAGATCATAAAGTAGCAGCCATTGAAAATGGCTCTTCCCAATCAAAAGCCAGCCGAATGGCAGCCCACTTCCCTGCAACTCCAAGTGATATTCAATTCAACTTCCAGGCACTGGAGTGACCCCCTCTTGCATATTTTTTACTCTGACTGCACCCTTTCACTAAATTACAGGGTTGACCAGGAGATGAGACTTCTCTTTAGATCATAATGTACATAGATCATGACAGAAAGAATATTTTAGTTCAAAGATTGATATTTAAAAGGGAATTTTAGGGGACCAGGCAAGGGCCCATCAAGGAAATTGAGGAAATTTTCAATGGCTACTACTGTATCTCTCCTATCCTGGCTTCTCTTCATTGGGTTCCTGTTAAATCCAGAATAGAATTTAAAATCCTCCTTCTCACATTTAAAGCATGATTGTTCCTTATGTTCCAAAAAGAGAACCCCAGTCAGCCTTGGCAGTCTGGTTCTGCTGGAGGTTTCCTCTCCACTGTCGCTACAAGCATGCTTAATGTGAGGGATTGTTAAAGAGTCAATGAGTTGATGCAATCAACTGGTTTTTGAATCAATTTGACTTGATGATCTGGTGAACTGTAAAGTGCCTTGATATGACATTTGTTGTGAATTGGCGCTATAGAAATAAACTGAATTGAATTGAATTAAAGGAACTTTTAGAGACAATTCATTTAATTAATGTGACATGAAAACTGGCATGTGTTAAGTTCAGGCTATGTTTCATGTTTGCATATTACAGGCTAGATTTATACAGTAAATCTGCAGAGCTTAAAAAAAAATCCTCTAATTGAAAGCTTCATTCATGTTTAGTCAAACAGTCAGATGCCCCCCAATAAGCTGAAAGTAAATCTAGGCAAGACTAACTGCCACTAATTCCTCCTTCTGATTAAAAGCTAACTGAGAATGCCGTAGCCCTCCCAGCATTATGCTGATACTCCTAGCAGAGACCAAGGCAGAATAACGTGTCTCACTGCAGGGGAGCTATTTCATAAGAGTCACATATCCCCACGCTCTCTGCACCAAGGAATAAATGCACTTTATGTAGTGGATAAACGATGTGAACCTGCTCCCCATGTGGCCGTGCTGAGGAAGCAGCGTGACATTTAAGAGGAAGTGTAGAAACGGATGAATCGAAGGAAGAAACAGATGGGTGACAGACGGGAACGGTGGGAGAGGTTGGACTCTAATGGAGGCTGCGATATGGATCCTGTAATCATCATCAGTTAGACACTGAAGTTTGATCAATACATGCATGCACAGTGTGGGGTGGCAAACAGGAGCGGCTTCCGGGAAGCAAGAGAGGTGTCACGTGACCCGAGACAGTAAGTCAAGTGGAGATGCATGAAGAGCAATGAAGGAAGAAGTGTGAACAGAACATCCAGTAGAGGAGTGGGTGTAATGAAGCCCAGAGGAAAAGAAAAACAACAAGTGTTTTAATGCATTCAGATCTGAGAGTGATTTCAACCACTATCCTACTGCTGGAGAGTCTATTTCATTTTGGTTACCTTGTCTTTCTAGTCAGAAGACCTGCAGCAATAATAATGACTAACAATCATGATGATGTGGAGGAATACATGCAGGCTGTTTAAATACCTCAACCGATGATAACCGGTTACATAGGTTTAACCCTTTTTAAATCTGAGGACTAGGAACGATTTGCATCCATTACTGCTCAAAGCTACATCATTTCTTAAAAAGCAGAACTTCTAGAGGTGTGCAGACAGCAAGGCTTTTTTGTTGTTGTTTTTTTTCTAAAATCAAATGAATCTAACAGCCGCCTCCCTCCAAGGATGGCTGTTTCACAAAAATTCACAAGAACACGAGTACTTTAGTTCCTGAGAGAACACAGGAAAGAGCGGACTCTGGGAGATGGGGGGGCACGCAGCAAAAATATGGGTCGATTGGAACAGAAGCGTACTGATGACCTCACCACACGCTCAGCTCGTCTGGAGCTGCATTTCACCTCCTGTTATTCATAGTCTCTAGATAATAATAAATTCTGACTTTTTCATTTAGTGGGGGAAAAATAATTACCACAGTTAAAAACTCGGTACTTCCCACACGGCTATGGAGAGAGAGGACTGCTGCAGACGGGCTAACGTTAGCTCTAGCAGCTGTAGATGGGCTAATATTAGCCCTGGCTGCTGCGGAATGGCTAGCGTTAGCTCTGGCAGCTGCAGACGGGCTAACCCATTGCTCACACTGGCTCCGGTGCGGTTACCGAGCCGACGGAGACCGCAACTCCCGCACACCCCCTCTCATACCGCCCTTTTGACTACGGTGCGGTGCGGCTCCGCGGCTCCGGCAACAGGTCCGGAGATTTAACAGAAGTTCACTTGAGTTCACGTAACTTCACGCGATAACACGGCCCAAATAAAGGATTTTTGCGAGAGCTTGTTGCGGAGGGCTCCGGCACGCCGCAAGGATAGCTTTCTTGCGGAATTTTCTGCAGCGCCGGAGTGTCTCGGTAACCGCAGCTGGACAGCTCAGCAGCCGGTGAGAGAGGTTTACGTCTTTTTAATGACTTGGAATCACTGCGGCGCCGCACCCACCGCACCGCAACGGTAAGACCGGAGTCGGTGTGAGCCTGGGGTAATGTTAGCCCTGTTTGCTACAGATGGGCTAACGTTAGCCCTGGCTGCTGCAGACCGACTAAAGTTAGCCCTGGCTGCTGCAGACGGGCTAACGTTAGCCCCTCCATCACTAAATAGAGCGGGGACAATATAGTGGACTTTATAGTGAACTCAGTTGACTGACGTTTCAGACTGATGATCACTACTTTATGTTGGTTACGTAACTCCTCTTCCACTGTGCGGTGCCTGCGCCATCTTCGTTATTAGTAGCCGCAGTCGTGTAGCGACAGCCTATGGCAACAGCAGGCCGCTGTGACAGAAAATCCCATAATGCTTTGCCAAGAGAACTCTCTGCACAAAGCATTTTGGGATTTATCTGCCTCTTCTGAGGCCTTTTTTTTCTTCTCATACACTTCGTAGACACTTTTTCTCTTATGACCCTCGGCAATTTTCAAAGAACCGCGGTGAGAAAGGTGAGCTTCAATGACTGTCTGAAACCATAGCTCACCACAGATATACGCCTCAAAGTGCGCATGCTCAGAAAAGATAGCTAACGGGTTGAGCACATAGGACGGCCTTATGTAAACATGTCTGCATAATGATTGAAAATTAGGAGGACCACTTATTGAGATGATCCACCCAAAAATAAAATATCATCCTCTTAGTATCCTTTTTTGCTTTTATTCTGCTTTTATTTTTCTTCTATTTAAATGTTTATTAAATTTGAAGCACTTTTAATTGTCCTTGTCATGAATTGTGCTATAGAAATAAACTAGCCTTGCTTTTAAGTGTCAATACATCAGAAGATTGAGATTGATCTAACATAAATTGAGTTTTTTTTCCCCTTCTTTAATCATGAGGGAAATAATAAATAAAACCTGTCCAGCAATGGTTATCTTAGCTTTTCCTCCTTGAAAAAGTGCTGCTATAAAGTTAACTACATCGGTGGAAACAAAGTCTTCTCAATGTTTTAACCAAGGTAAAATAAGAAGTTAGTACTTAAGTAAATGTGATTATTTCATGTTGGATCCATCCAGTTGTAAGGCTATGGTTCAACCATCTTATTAAAAACTGCCTATAAAACAGATAAATACTTGCCTCTGTGACAGTTTAGCTATAGAGCTCCATGCATATCTTTTCTGTTGCACAGACACATACAGATAAAGAAGGAGCCAGTTTAGCAAACACACAGCAGGAGCTCATCAGATATACACCTGCTATCTTTTTGTCTGCATATATTGCTATGATTTTCCAAGAAGAACCCGGCGCCTGTGTTACATGATCAGATTACTACTGAGAGCTTTGTGGCTCTAAAGCATTGAACTCACCATTCAAAGGGCTTTGATCAAGAACATCACGGATAATGTTCCATGCAGTATAAAGAAAAAAGCTGTCCTCTGTCACATCAAGACTGAAGGAAGAATACGTCTCTCCTTTAGTGAAAATTGCTAATTATATTTTAATCCGAAGGCAAACATCCCTATATGTGGTTGCACAGCCAACTCACCTCTAGTCGCAGGTATTCACTCTGGTCCCTCGACACCAAACTGATGATGATGCTGCTGTGTTTACGAGTTCGAACTAGGACTTGGATCCATGTTCTGCGGGCAGGCAGGGAAGACGGCAGCTTGTAATGCACATGACTGTGGCCGTCGAAGGAAAACTCTGGAACCTCTGGAATACAAATTAGCTCATATTAAACAAATGCTGAAGGCAAGGCAAGTTTACTCAGATAGCACATTTAAAAAGCGAGATAATTCAAAAACTGTCAGTGAAAAAGTAAAAGAAACAAAACAGGGAACGATGCTGCAATGGAAAAAAAGGTAATTAAATATTTACTGAGCATGAATAAATGAAGATTATAAAAATGAGTAATTAAAATGATTGACAAGAAAGTAAGACTACATAGTTAAATAGCACATTTAACAGCCATTATCTTGTTAATTTGGATTTAACCTCTTGGTGAACCCTCACCTTAAAGTGGTGGAGGGGTTTCAGTGCCTGAATGATCCCACAGGATATGTTGTCAGGAATTAAAGCCCCTTGTAGGGTTTCCCACTGCACACAGCCCTTTGTCTGAGTCTGCTGTGGTCAAACTCAGACCTGTGTTAAAAAAGCCCCTAAAAATACAGTAAAATCATGGATGTGATGTCGCCTGGTACGGCAGAGCAGGAACCAGACCTCAGGTTGTTTTTTTGTTGACAAGCACCTTGTGGTCAAGTTCCTTCTCATTGGACACAGCCCAGCCAAAAGGAGCAGTGGTGTCAAGTACACACATTTGTTTATTAATTAAAAGTATAGATACTGCAGTTTAAAAACATTCTGGTAAAAGTTGAAGTATCAACTTGACCTAGAAGTGAAAAAGTATGTGTTCCAGCTGCCACTATATGAATTGAAAGCTCAATTTTTTGACTATTTTGAAAAATTCTTTGAGTTAGGACCAAGGATGAGGGAGGTCTTGTTGCTCTTCGTCTCCATCTCAATATACGCTCTCGCCTGTGTCCGAACTTTAAGACATTTCAAAATCTTTTTCTGCCATTGTAGCATAGAATAGACGATTCCCATTTGCAGTTTCAAGAACACCCACTGGCTTCTGATGATTTCCTTTAGCTAACCAATGAGTGTTTGCGTTATATGACTCATCCAATGACACTAGTTTTCAATAGATGTGGATGGAGCTAATGATCTGCATTGAATGGCGCACATGACGGGAAATAAACATTTATGTTTATAAATAATTAGAAACATAAAGCCGAAGCCAAGAGTAGCGAAAAACTTTGTTTTGAAAATGTAAGGAATAGAAAGTACAGATACTTGTGTGAAACTGTAATGAGTAGAAGTCAGAAGTAGGAAGAAAAATAATTAAAGGAGTAAAGTATAGATACCTAAAAAGGGTACTTAAGTGCAGTAACAAAGTATTCGTACTTCGTTACTTGACACCTCTGAAAAGGAGTTATCCCCCAGTGGGCCCACCACCTGCATGGGGAACTATGAGGGACAGGTGCAAAGAGGATATGGCAGCAGTCCATCAGAGGCCTTTTCCACCTGATCCATAGGTACTATGCTTAAACCGGCTCTGGGGATGTGAAATGTCACCTTGCTGGGGGAGAAGGAGCCTAATGGGGACGTGGAGTGGGACCGGCAAGAACTAGTCGGGCTCGCTTCCACACAAAGCCTGAGCTCTAGAGCCCAGCTCCTTCAGAGAGGTTTGACTCCTCTACTCTGGAGAGGCCTGCGTGGAGAGGCGGAGGGTGGGTCGGTCATTTTGTCTTAGCTCATCCACCTTAAAGGAATAGTACACCCAAAACATGATTAGATTTCATTTTTTACTCACCCCCATGCTGAACAACACTCTGGAGTACTTTTTTGATATCTCAAATGCATCTGGAGATCTGGGAGGCTTCTTGCTGTCTGCTGACATTCAAATAATGGAGGTCTATGGAGCCCGAGGCAGAAAGGTCCATAAAAGTCCACAAAAAAAGGTGTCAATATTCCTCCATACTGCTCGTCCAATGTATTCCAAGTGTCCTGAGTGGGTAGCGTCCATAATTTACTCAAAACGAAGTCATTTAGAATGTTTTGAGAGCATAAACAGTAGTGTATAGGACTTCCTAAACGCGCGCGCATGCGAGTTCACGAGTCTACGGAAACCGCGGCAGACCAAACCAGATGAAAGTGCGCATTCAGCGTCTGCCCTGCCGATAATGCAAGCGTAGAAGAAGAAATGTGCTGTTTACCTGTGCAAAGAAAGAAACAACGAAAGAAAAATGTCTGAGGACTTGATTGTTGAGGAAGAGCATGAGTTCTTTGCCGAGCTGAATGCGCACTTTCATCTGGTTTGGTCTGCCGCGGTTTCCGTAGACTCGTGAACAGTGTGGGATTTGGTCTTGCTCAGGGACCCAGAGTGGCAGTCCATTGGAGCGGGGCTTGAACTCAGAACTTCAGGATTCCAAGCAGAATGCCCCAACAACTAGGACGCCACTCGCCAAAGCAGGCATTAGCGTGAATGGTCTTGCCTAAGGATCCACACTTGCAGCTAATCCGCCAGCTGGGATACAAACCCAGGCTTCCTGTTTGCAGGACAGTGACTTACCACTTGAGCTGTCTAACTAGTTTACGCTGGAGAAGCCTGTGGAGAGAGGCCGAGGGTATATAGGTGGGTATACTACTGTTTCTTTAGGTTTAAGGGTAAGGGACTGGTTAGTGGTAAGTTTTTACTTCACAGCACATGGGGAAATTTTGGAAGTTCTTGCTTCGGCCTGACATGAACCATGTACGTCAGTTTCCGATGCGGAGGGGACTTGACCAAGCCTAAATGTGACGAGTTGGGAGTGAGACTGTACAGTATATAGCGCCCCTCCACAGTAACACTTGGTGGGACATGATTGGAACAACCAGACCTCAACCTCTGAACACATGTGGTGTTTTCACCAGGTCACAAATTGTCCACAATGGAAACCATATTCAGACATGCAGACTTATTTTACTTCCAGCAGATGGAAAGCTTGTCTCAGCCCGAGGCAGGCTGTGGACATGGAGTCTGAGAGGACCGTGCTGTCTACCTCTAATGTCAATGTGGGTGCCTGTAGCTTTGGCCATGGAGGACACCTTGATGAAAACTTGCAATAAGGGATCATGTCAAGCTGAAGAGGGGGTCCTATCAAACCTACCAAACTCCTGAGGCAGCATGAAGGTATTGTGAGGCCAAGCATGCCGCTGCCAAGTTGGTCGCAGAGGCAAAAACACAGGGCTGTGATGAACGTGGAGAGACCATGGAGAAGGGCTATCCATCAGCCTCAAAGCAATTCTGGCATCTCTCGTTAACAAGACACAGAGATATTGGAATCGCTTCTCTTGAGACAGAGACACACTCTACCCATTTGTACGTGGGATTTGTAAAGGCTGTTAAATTAAGGCTATCCTCTTTTGTGCAATAATCTCTTGTTGATTGGAAAGTATTGCAATTAAGAAATGAACAATTATGACAGTGATTATGAAACCAGCAAAAATTACGGATAGGAATAAATCTCCAAAGAAAGACTCTGACTCCTGAAGTTGAATCACTGCCGAAGAGTCTGAACCTGATGAGCCAGAAAACAAAAGCTTCCTTTGCTTTTGCCTTTGTCCAAATAAAAGCCAGATAAACAACACGTCTCTCTTCCAAAGAGCCTCTTACTGGTTGCCAAAACTCAGTCATGTGACCTGCTTGGGTGAATAACAAAACAAGTCATCCCATGAATAGCAGGAGTGATTAATTGCTGTTTATCATTCATCTATTCATCTTTTTGCTCATTAAATCATTGGATGTTTGACGCTTGCCACCGGTGGCTCAAGAAGCTGTTCACATTGATAATAAAGAGTCCTTATTGGCTAACGTCTAGAAACAGAACAAGGCTGTATGAATATAGGGTTTGGATTCGGGTGATATTTCTATGACAACAATGTGTTTTCTATACTGTTACTGGTTCTACGGCGTGTGAGAAAAGTCCTGTCAATTAGTGTCAGTCTGAGGCAGAGGAGGAGGACGGAGACGCCTGGCACAGTGTGCTGCGGTCAGCAGAAAGCGTTGGTACACTCCTCAAAATGGGACATGTGGGGTGACTGGCCAGGATCATTAAACAGCTCAGCTCATTGCAACGGGCCTCTCCAACTGCTGCCGTCAAGCCAACGCCTCCACAGCCATGCAGCTAGAATGGGCAAGCTCACAAGTCCAGAAGGGTCCTAAATGTGGGAGCTGCCAGGATGCCGCCTGGTTCTCTGAGAGCAACACAGCAGCAGCAGGTAGGGAGAAGCAACTGGCCGCTGATCTGCTCAGTGGAAGCCATGGGGGAAGAAAATGGAGGCCATGATGTCAAAAAGGGAACTGAATAGATTTCAATCTTCTGGTATAAAAAAAAAAAACAATAAAAAAAGACAGTTGATAGCATTTTTCAAGTATATTATACAGTAAAATACACAAACATTACTCTTGTTTAATTTAAATGAGATTGTAGTTTATATCATTGTCGTATGTAATTCACTTTCTGCTTATCAATAGGATGGAAAATGGGTCACTCCTCACAAACGTTCCCCATCGTTTTTAATAAAAGAGACACCAATGTATGCTTTGGACCAAGAGTTACTGAATGTTTGAAACGTAGTTAGTAATAGTTTGTATTTTCTTGTATTTTAGGAACAATTCAGGAAAAATACAAACACACACACAATCATTCACACCAAACATTCAGAAGCACAAAGCTCTAAAATAAAGATCTAGTTAGAATTCACACAATATAAAGCTTATCACACACGTGAAGACATGGTTATAAAAGGATTCAAATGTTTAGAAAATGTTGAGAAACCTACATAAACAGAGTTCATAGAGCAGATGGTGGGCTGTACCAATCAAAAGGTAAATAATGGTAAATAAAAATTTTCTAAATTCTGTTTGACTTCTGGGAAAACAGCAAACATTTAAACTAAAACTGGGGTCTAAAACTACACAAGAAGTTAATCTCAATCATTTATGATTTTTTGATAATCAGGATAATTCTAACTAATACACTAAATATACATATTAACCCGTGAAATTGTCATCTCGAGGCTGAGTGACTCAAAACTGATGTTGGTTCTGAAACAGTATCGAAGATTAAACCTGCAAAAACTGATATAGACAAGATCAATTGGTTGGAGATCAGTAGATATAGTCTTTTACTTACAATAATTGATTGATTCAGACATTGCAAAGGATATGTCATTTTAGTGGTAAGAAAATTAGTGTTGCACCGAAACCGATTCCAGTATCGGGCGGGGCCCTGATACTAAAATGGCGGTATCGGCGTGTGCCGACAAATAGGGCACCAATACCATTATGAGAGCCAAATGTTTATTCAACTATTGTCACCCATTCCAGGTAGGCAATAAAAAGTAAAAAGTTCTGATGGATTCACTTTAGTCATAGTCTTAAGTCTTTTTCCTGATTCACAAAGGTAGGCAGCAGCTTTTACAAAGCCATGATGGCAATTATTTTACATCCAAATAGTCTACAGTTCTTCATATATACACACATTCATTTCAAACATATGGTTTCCCCCCCGGGTACAACAGACCTGCACCGTGCCCCATACGCACACTTAAGGCAGCAACTTCTCATCAACTTTTCACTAACTAACATTAATTTCTTAAAACACAAAACAGAACAGTATTAGTATTAGTATTATTTATTTTCAATTTCCAATACTTTCAATCTTGTAGCCTCGAACATCGGTTGTGCTTTCTGTTTTTCATGGGACTTCAGCATACAGTGCACCTCGCCACTGTGTCATTATTCCTCACCATGGCCGGTTCTAGACAGGGGCCAACGGGGGCCAGAAATTCTAATGATGATATGCGCTGGAACAGACGTGGTTACTGATAGGTCCTTTTGAAATACTTCATTCTTTTTTATTATTTTTTTTTATTTTATTTATTTATTTTTACAAATTCTGATTTACTAATTATTCAAAAACAGTAAGGCAATAGCTTCAGTGGTACTGAGATAGGATCCCAGTTTTCATCTGCTAAATGTTTTAGTTTTTTCCATAAACAATAAAAAAAATCCTCTAATTTTTACAGATAAATTTAACAGTTTTTCTTGAGTTCAAATTAAAAATTTATAGAAAACAGTAGTTTTAACTTAAATTAAGTCAAACATATGTAAAATTCCCAAATTATAAATGTATATTGACCTCATAAGAAATAGAATTTTTATTGAACATAATTGAAAAGAATTTTCACTTCATGCAGCTCTCTTTATATATTTGAATCTCTTGCCCTGATTATTTATTTCATGCTTTTCCGTGCCCCCATGAAAACACGCTGGCCCCCTGGTACACTTGGTCTAGATCCGCCACTGTTCCTCACCTTCACTAGATGTGGATATACTTTAGTAAATTCTGTTGTAAAATTAGTCCTATATTTTTGTTTTTTACTTGAGGAATCAACCCCAGCCGTTTCACAGGATGCACAGCTTTGAGTGGTAACTAGGTGACTGCCAGAGAGTAACGGGAAACTTATTGGGCTGATCCAATCAGCTCTCTGACAACCAGTCGCCTGGAACGCTGGTTGAACAGAGCATCACTTTGGACAGATACGCTGCACAGGTTTCACAAGTAACCTCCTCCTGACACTCCTCTCTCTCTTATTGTCTGCGCAATCGAAGTAGTTCTAATCCTCACATGATGCACGGATTATTGCCTGCCCGCTCTCACTTGCCTTAAAAAACACCACCTCACAGAGTGTAAAATCCGGGATAGTTTATCCGACTCGCGGGCATCAGTTAACAACTATCTATATCAATGAGTCTCCTGGATCTTCCGGGAGACTTGGGATGTCTGGTATCGGAATCAGTCAATACTGCACAGCCGGGTATCGGATATCTGTATAGGGGCCAAAAAGGGCATGGGCGCAACACTAAACAGAATGTAAATGAGAGGTAAGAGAAAGCTAAGGGTAAAGCGAGAGGCCTGAATATTGAAATGGCTCAACTGGAAAATGAACGTAGAGTTTTAGCATGCAAGGATAAGCCAGATATTGAATTTTCCTTCTGAAATACAGTAGTCCCAGTTTCAAAGTCCCCCTTCAGGTCGACTAGCCGAATGGCCCTCAGCTTCCAGCCAACTTCCAGCCGGTGGAGTAGCCCCCCCTTTCTGCTGGGAGCCTCCATGTTTACTTTAACTACTTCAATTTATTGGAATAAAGGGTATCTCTGGTATACAGCTTGGCTAAGGGGTGTGGCCTTAATGACATCATCATCTCAGGGATTATATTACCAAGATGGACCTGTTGGTTTCCAGTCAAGGACCAGTCAAGGACCTATCATGGAAACAGAGGACCTTTTATGCCACTACAACTGAAACACTGATTACAATTTAGTTTGATTTAAAATCATTAGATACAATTGAATTGAATCTTTGTTCTTACAGTTAGATCTGTACTGTGTCAAATTGAAACTGAATGTCAGTGATACTGGATTTGGAATAGCAGAAGATGGTATCATCCGCATACAGTCGAATATAAAAGGGAGTTTGTTGATAAAAAATGTATATTATAGGGCACCAAGTTAGGATCCCTGTGGCAAACCAGTACTGTAAAAAAATACATTATATATATATTCAGAAACTAGAGGGTGTTAGCTTTCAAATAATGTAGGGTACATGTAATTTGGGTTTACAGTTCCTAAGTTATTTGCTTTTCCAGTTGGGCATGCAAAATAGGCGAGGATTTCCCAAAATGAGGTGGTTAAATCAAGTGGATATGCCCTTAATTTTAGTAGGTAAATTAGATCAAATTCACTTGAAATAACACAATGCAATTGTGTTTTCTTATTTTAAGTGTAAATTGTCTTGTTCTATTGGCAAAATGTTTCTTTCACCTCCTCAACTCAAGAACAAATGCACTTATTTTAAGAAAATATGACTTATCTAGATTTCGATTTTTTTTTTATAGTGTAGCTGTGATGTTCTGTTACAGGATCCCCGACCGGACAGTTAGAAAAACTGTCCTTGAAAGATCTGGCTTACCTTCCTCACACTGGTGTCCCGTGTATCCGGCCACGCACTGGCAGCTGAAGGAGCCCCACTCACCATGGCAGCGACCTCGATGGCCACAGGACGGGTAGCCCATGTTGACACAGCTGCTATCAGTGGTAAGGCAGCCCGGAGAGCTGGACTGCCAGTCAGCTGGGGAGCCCAGATCATACAGCTGAACGGAGGAGATAGAGGTGAGGAAAGGAGGGAGATAATAAGACGGGAGAGGGCGAAGAAAGAGGAACCAGGGAGAGAAGAAGAAGAGGGAAGAGTTCATTACAAAGAAAAGATAGAGGAGGGGAAGATGGTTAAAAAGGCAGCAAAGCTGATGTTTGATGGTGGGAAAAGGAAGAAGCTAGCAGTAACTGAGCAAGGTTATGAACAGGAGACACAAATCCTCAGCAACAACAAAGTGAGGGCGGTTCGAGGAGCAAACAGAACCAAGATCCAAGCAGCTCTGTGGCTTCAGGGGGAGAAGAAGTTCTTTAAAGCAGTAAAGTCAAACAGAGTTAAGGGAAAAACCGAAGAAGGAACTTTAAAGAGTGCCGAAGGACATAGGCTGAGGGTACTCTCCTCATTTCCATCTTCATATTTGCTCTGTTTACGCTTCCACTACGACTCTCTCTGTCTGTCTACTCAGCCAGTGATAAAACTGAACACAGGACCGGTCCTCTGATGGAAACCCTCCATGACCGGCTGCACTGACTGCTGAAAGGAGCTCTGAATACTTAAACATGGCTCCCTGAACTATTATGCATTCTGCACAGCCTTTTGTGCTGCAGACAAGATGCAGAAATTCAAAAGACTTTGAGGTGACTGGATGAAGCTGTCAGGAAGCTACTGACCGTTGAAAAGCTGCATTCGATGATCCCCCCTCTTAAATTCAATTCAATTCAGTTTATTTCGATAGCGCCAATTCACAACACATCTCATCTCAGTGCACTTTACAGTTCACCAGATCATCCAATCAGATTGATTCAAAGTTTTCTGGAAAACCAGTTGATTGCATCCACTCATTGACTCAAATACAATCCCTCACACTAAGCATGCTTGTAGCGACAGTGGAGAGGAAAAACTCTGTTTTAACAGGAAGAAACCTCCAGCAGATCCAGGCTCAGTGTGAGCGGCCATCTGCTGAGGCCGACTGGAGTTCAAGGAAACATAAACAGAAACAGTCTCCAGTAAAGCATATCCAATTAAACTTTCTCTTAATTAAAACCCTATAATTGGTTGAACAGTATGTAATAATTTCATATTTAAAGTACTTTCAAAAGTTTATATTTGGGCAAAAATGGCCGGTCCCAGAGTTAGTGATCGCAATGTTATTTTACTGATTAAAGCTGAAGTCTGTAAGTTTTTAAAAATCACTTTTTTGTCATATTGGCTAAAACTGTCCCTATGCCCAGACAGCAGTACATGTGATATGTAACCTGTGAAAAAAACTGCTTCAATTGGTCCTGCATACTGCCTGTATTTCAATCTGGAAAGAATAATTCGGGACGAGTCAAAACAACCAATCACAGCCAGAGGAGCGTCTGATGGAGTGTCAATCACCCCCCCCCCTCACCGCTTAACCTGCCGCAGCGCCCGGCTGCCGCAGTCAGGAGGACGCGCGTGGAAGTCATGGCGGAGCGACAGCCACCAGCGAAAGAGAAACTGCCCTTACTGCCCCTGCCGACAACTGCTTACACGGCAAACTTCTGTATAACCAGCATCTTATATCTAGCTGCTTGGAGGTGAGTGTTATCGCTCTTACTGGTTCACACTCCATGCCGCGTACGCTGCTTGGACGCTTCTGGTCGCAATGCGAGAGGGGTGGAGCTTGGAGGTGGGGCATGAGTGAAGCAGAGAGGGTGGGGGAGTGGCGTGAAACCTGTTTTTCTTCAAATTTTCAGTCGAAGTCTGCTCTCTTCTCAATGTTACAGACTGCAGCTTTAATGCTAAATTCATTAAATCACAGATGAGATGATGATCCATTGATCATTCCTTGCCAATCAGACTTCTCCTTTAAAGCTTGTGATTCAGATGAAACCTTCTGCAGTTCAGACAAATATAAACTTTCAGTCGCTCAAGTCTGAGTTTGATCAAATGTCACATTCACATTTCCATGTCACATTGAACATGTGACATGGAAACATGTTTTCAGTGCAGGTCAAACTCTCCTTTGCTGAGAAATGCTCCAATCCAACCTCCGAGCAGGTTGCTCTCAGAAAGCCATTACCCCAACTGCTGGAAGTGCAAAGTTCTAGTCTAAAAATGGAGAGAGAAATCTGCAAACAGCAGAAATCTAAATGTGAGGCTGAGAGGAGACAGACGATCTGGGAAATGACAGGATGAGGATGGAGAGATTTAAAAGCACACAATGGTGAATGACAGCCTGAGGGGAGAATAGAAGCATAATTATAAAAGACAGGAAAAATAAAAACCGTTTTTTCCCCTTCGCTTAGACTTCTGCCTCAGAGCAGCTCCCCCCTCCCCCGCTGCTTACTGCTCCTGTATTTAAAGGGTTTAATGGAGCTGCTGGTGCTGCAAGGATAAAAAAAAAAACAGGTATATGCCAATATCCATGTGAACTACCTTTATCTCTTCACAGAGGCTCGCATCCCTGTTTGAAACCGCTGATGTTGCCATGGCAATTGAAGTGAAACGTTGACACATTGAGTAAAAAATAAAAGCGCTCCAAAGGAAGGAGCATGAAAACCCAGAAACATACAATGCTGACGCCTGTCCATCAATGTTATTAATCATCGCTACGCCTACCCTTCCCTCTCTCATGAGGTTTATTATCGTTTCGTCCGCCCACATAAATCAGACAGATTTCTCTCATTAGCAGCCAGGGTTTGATCAGACCCTCGCTGGATTTCAGGCTGAGCTAAATCATGCTACCTCTCTATACCACAATTATAGGGTTTTCTTTGTGTCCCTCTTGGATTTTTAAAAAAGAATCTAAAAATGTTTAAGTTGGAGCAAATATAACCTGAGATCAAACAAAATATAATGGTTTCATTGATCAAAGTAACTGTGAATAATAGACTGAATGGCCATTAAGGACTCGTAATCACTGACAATAACCTTCACTGAATTAAAGTCATCTTTTCTTATTAAAGGAGCATGGTAGCCTGTCCTAAACCTTCAAATAATTGTGCTAGGCAAAATAAGGGTTTAGAAACGCGGCTGGTGTCGTAGATAAAAGGAGCAAAGCTTTAGTTCAGTAGCTTTTGAAGAGGTTTTCCCCATTCTGGCCATCAGCTGAAATGACACCAGTGTTGTGCACATACTGGGAGAAGGAAAAGCACCACTGCTGCTCCGACGGCACAGGTGTTTAGTTCAGAGACTTAATGGCCCAATCCCAAACCGGCCACTAAACATGAACCCTGTATGTTCCCTCTGAGTGTCCGCTACATTTAGGGCCGTCCCAAACCCCATAGTGGGTAAGGGGAGTGGAGCGTCCAGCTATAGCGAGTCTCTATCAGAGCTGGCACACTGGAATGTGGCAGCGGGTGTAATGGCGACCTAATGGCAAAGGAAACGCGTTCCTCCTTATGTAAGTTCTGCTGCATCTTCATCTCACAGACACAAGATCATAAGTTAGGTATATGGAAAACAATTCATTCCAAAATGGAAGGTCCTCTCTGAGATGTTTTTATCTGACTGCAGAGATTTGTTTTAAGAAAGGGGGGAATGTCTGATTTTATGTCCCCCTGCGCCACAGAGCTACAGATACGCACATTGGGCGTCAATGTGTTGCCATAGCAACGACTCCTTTACTTTTCCGTTGGAGGAAAGGAGGCGTCCCATTCTCTTCAATAAAGGCTCCTTCCACAGTTGCATGTAGACTTCATTGGGAGTGACACTGATATTTAAGTCTCAGTGCTTAGGGGACGGTTTGGGATTCAGTAGACGTCTCGGAGGTAGGATAGTTATATAAAAAAAAAAAACTATTCTGAGCAGTTTTGTGCTCATACTTTGTTCTAATATTTTTAGATGTTTTAGCCATTTAATGAGGTCACACAGAACCAGGCCCGGACTGGGAACGATTATCGGCCCTGGCATGTTTCCATCTACACCGGCCAACTTACACCCCCCTTCCAAAAATAAATAAATAAATAAATAATTTGAAGCACAGTCAAACACGTGCGTCTCAAATATGAAACACAATATGAATACAAATTGTGGATTAACCGATCTATCTTCAACCATCACCAACACTTCTATAATGCGGCTTTACTGGCTTTGGTTGTTGGGTTTGGTTATTTTTACTCATAGGCGGCCATCCTAATCTGCCAGCTAGGGAAACATCCCAACCTGGCAACAATGCAGGTAAGATGGGAAAATTTAGCGCTTAGATGCAAAACCCCTTCATGCACAACAACATATTTTTGCAAAAATAGTCGAACATAAATTCACCAAATATAAGAGAATCGTAGTTTGGTTTTAGAGAGTATTTCAGTTTTATTTTATTTTAGTTTGTTGCAAGGATTTTACAGTTTGAAGGAGTAGAAAATGACACCATATGCCAACCGTCACAAGGATGTGCATAACAAGGAAGGGCTATATATACTGCATGCATCATTTAGGTAGTTAACATTGGATTACTTCTTGAGCTCTTTGAGTTATTTACTGTCACAGGTAGGAGCTTTGGCCAGTATGATTTAAGGAGGGCCGTCCATCGCACGCTAAAAGCCTCAAAATGGTAAATCACACTATAACTGATTCTATTTCTGATTCACTAAAATATTTAAATTCAAAATGCAAAAAAGAGCATCAGATAAACAAGAGAGCAAATTCTCTGTCTCAGAAGCTAATTTCTTATGCTGTGTTTTCTCCTAACCAGACTTCAGTGCAATTGAAGAACCAACATTTAGCTTTAAAGTGAGCAGATGAAATCCCAGCCTCATGCTAACCGGCTTCTGCAGCAGAAAAAGCTGATTCTGTCACCATGTGAAGTCTGCAGGTTCACACACAGGTTTCCTACCAGAGCCCTCTGCTAATGCACAAATGATTTGGTTCAGACAGGCTTGCGTTTGGATTTTCACGGCCAAGCAGTAGTGCAAAGGCTGATATTTCATTTCACCGTCAGAGAGCAGGTCTGTAGCATCTGAAAAGACTTTGAGGTTCCAGTTAAAAGTTTAGAAAATGCTCTGACATGGCACCAGGGCACTGGGAATGTGGGAAGGTGTTATTAATGCTGTTATCAGCTGGAGTGCAGGTGTGAGTTTGATGTTTAAGTGCTTGCTTTGGTTGTTTGAGGGTGAGAGAGTGTGATTGGACGGCCAACTGTACGTTACCTTGCTGTCCACAATGAGGTTACGGATGCAGCCGGTGAAGTGTTTGTGCTGAAGCTGAGGATAGATGAAGGGGATGTCCTCATTCACACCTCCAAGCTGGAGCACTTGACTCATGTTTAGGTGTCTAAGAAACCAACAGAGACACAGAGAAGCATCAGCAGTGAAACGGGAACAAGCATGAAGAATTTCAGGCCAAAGTGGACGAGACATTCAAACATGTTAAACCGAAAGGTCTCTGGTAGTCAAAACTTAGAGAAATAAACCTGCAACCTGAAACATTTCTGTTTATTCATCTTTCACACTACTCATTTTCTCAATACGTATGAGCACTGATAATCGTCAGTCAGTATCTGGTGGTATTAATCTGTTTGAAAGTAAAATGTTTTCTTCATTAATTCACTCAGAGCAGAGACAGAAAGTTTCCAGAAGTCTGAATCTGATCCACACTTCCCAAAACAAGATGGTTGGTTGTTGTTAGAAAAATGTAAATGTCATCATTTTATTTATATTAACTTACAGGCATTAGGCCTGCTAGGAATGTTCTGCGTTGTTTTAACTTCAAACGGGGAGAGCAAATGCTTCTCCCAGGGACTGTCTTATCCAGCTATGCTGCTGCAGACGACTGATCATCAGCCACAATAAAACTACACAAGGAACTGTCATGCTTTATTCAATTCAGTTTATTTCTATAGCGCCAATTCACAACACATGATGTCATCTCAAGGCACTCTACAGTTCAACTAGATCATACAGTCAGATTGATTCAAAGTTTTCTATCTAAGGAAAACCAATTGATTGCATCAAATCATTGACTCTTCAGCAATCCCTCACACTAAGCATGCTTGTAGTGACAGTGGAGAGGAAAAACTCCCTTTTAATGGGAAGAAACCTCCAGCAGAACCAGGCTCAGTGTGAGCGACCATCTGCTGAGGCCGACTGGGATTCAACTGTGTTTGTGTTGGTTAATTTCTAGGACAATAAAGGGGTTATTATCATTTAACCATAATACTTACCCAAATTAGCCAATTTATGAGAGTTTAGTAAGAGGTGAAAAATTTTGCCAAAAATAAAACTTGTGATTGTATTAAACCAATATTGCAATTGTAATTCAATTTTCTTTTGCAATAACCCAAATCATGTAAATGTTTCATGACAAAGTTTTAGTTTCACGTCTCATCACGTCTCTCTACAGAGAAGCAGTGGCACGTAGCAATACTAGAGTATCTTAAAGAGACAGTACACAATTACAACTGTTACAGTACCAAGATAACTGCAGAACTTTAAACTGGTCTCCACCTAGGAGCGATCAGGAGACAAGACAAACACCTCTCAATCCACTGGCCGCCAGGAACGATGACATAAACCTTGGAATAAACCAAACTAATGAAACCAACAAACAAACAGGCATCAAACAAACAATGATCTGGAATAGATAGCCGGGCTGAGCCGAATATAAAAGAACACACCCTGGATAAGGAACAATCAGGAACCGGGCAGGTGGGGGGGATAAATGAAATGAATAATTAAGGCCAGCTATCAGGGCAGATCATGACAGTGGGGCTTGAACTCAGAACCTCCGGATTCCAAACCCAATGCCCTAACTACTAGGTTACATCCGCCTCTAGGCCACACTCCCCTGCTCCTCTCTTAATGTCTTTGTGGTTCTAAACTCACTTTAGTCATATTAATACTAGCTAAAAGGTCAGAGAGATAAATTTAGCTACTTACTCTTTTTGAATGCAAAATGACCAAGATTGATTGCCTCTGCAATTTGAAAATTGTGCTTTATTAAATTGTGATTATATTGCAACTGCAATTAATTGCCCAAGCAGACTAACACCAGAGTACAGCTCTGAAAGCTTCTTTTACCTGCCGCCCCTGATACACCTGAACATATAAGAGGTAAATATGTTCCGATTTTACGAGGGGCATTCACCCACTTCTAGTTGTTTGATCTAGCTGAAATTTTGGGCAATTATTAATATTTCTATAGATTAAGTGGCAAATTACAGCTGTGAAATAATTGTGTTTTCGGGTTTAAAGTTGTTTGAAATATGCTGGTGAATAGTCATTCAGGTCATAGTTATTCCAAAAAAGTAAAAAAAAAAACAATCCACTGGACTTTGTTTCCAAGTTTAAAGACGTTTTTTCTTCCCCACTGGTTCAATTTGCATGATTTCTAGGCCAGAACAAGTTTTTGGGCTACTATATAAAGCTTCAAACTCAACGCTATTTCTGACATTTTGAATTGAAAAAGCTTCCTGGATGGAAGACAAATTATTTTAGAAAGTTGTTTGAACTGAGTCAATTGTGAAATTAAGCCTGTTGAGTGTCTGGCAGTGATCTGGTTTTTGTGTTTGAAAGGACACAGAGCACAAGAGACTTTTGATGAAAATAACTTATGGTAATGATGCTCCATCATAGGGCCTTAAAAGGCCATAAAAAACCGAATCACTGCTCGATACTCAACAGGCTCCATTTCAGACTTGGCTCAGTTCAAACACCAGTAAATCAGAAACCACATTTACTTCAGAGCTCAAATTTACCACTTAATCTATAGAAATATAAATACTTGCACATACAAATTTCATCTAGATCAAACAAGAGGAAGTTGATCAGAGGAATTACTTATTGAACGTCCCTCATATATTAAGGAAGAGCTCGTCCCTCCTTTGCCTCAGAGTTGATCCAATCAACACTGAGTAAAGATGCTTTGTCTGAACATAAGCATTTGGCACATTTCTAACCTTTGACCGATCGATCCTAATGAGCTATTTATTGAACTGTTATGGCTGTGATGTACTACTTTATGTTAAATCTGACATAGAATGGTACAAGAGATTGTGATATTGCAGGAGTCGTCTTTAGGCAGCTCAGTGTGACACTGCGTAACAGCGCTGCCTGTCAGCGATGTGCAAACTTCCCTACATGTAGACAGAGCAGCCCTTTTCAAACTCAACTCAGCAGTTAACTCTTTAAATTGACTCATTAGTTTAAAACCAGGAGAAGACACTTAAATGATCTCTTTTACAAATAGGGATCCAAATTGAGTGTGACTTGACTCTCTACTGCACAATCCCATGCTTTCTAGTGTTGCTCCTATATATTTATGTGCAGAAAAACAATAAGCACTTCAAATAAAAAAATCGACTCATGCAAAATGCTATGTAGTGATAAAAAAGTATTCAACTATTCACCCTAGTTCAATAAACGGAGATTGATGGATTTCACTCAGTTGGCTCTTTATTCATTATATCTTTGCAAAGAGAGAACAGTTCATCATACGGTAAAGTATTCAGCCCCATTCTGACTGAGCAGCATGTGTTCCGCCTTACTTACAACAATGGAAAGCAGTTAGAGTCAAAACAAATTCTAGACACTTTGGTTAACAGTAACTTGTTAAGAATAAACCTTGAGAAAGAATCTAGTTTGTTATGGGAAGAAGCTACGTCTGGTCTACAAACACCATCACACAGAGAAAAACAAAAACAGAAAAGCTGATATCATAGAAAACGAAGCTGACCAAAGTGCAAATGCTGTGAAAATACATCAATCTGCTGCAAAACCTGAAAACCCTAAAAAGAAAAGGTGATGACGACGACGTATTTGGACAAAGACATGGCTGAGAAAACGTGGCTACTACGGTCTGTCAGTTTTACAGAAAGAACTCCATTTCACTCATTGCACCCCCGCCATGATGCTGTGTTTTCATCTGAGAGGAAGAAGAAGAAAAGCATCCTTGTTTTTGCATGCGCACGGAGCAGCAGAGTGATGGCCACCTTATAATGGCTGACTGATTTTTTTTTTTTTAAAACAATGGCGAAGCAGTTTATAAATAAACACACTGAAAATGTTAAAACCTGCCGGTGGAAAATATTTGATTGTATATTCTGGTACTTTCAGCAGCGATTTCCAGCACTGTTGTTTGGCAATATGTTGGATTCTGCGATATGTTCGTCTGGCGCTCCGAAAAACATTTGTAAATTTTAGTAGGACTATAATCCTGATGGGTACTGAGGTCAGACACACCTAGATTCATTTGTTTTGTTAGGAAACAAAGAAGCTACTGAAGATGAGAGAGTAAAGGAGCTGGGCATATAGCCCAACGAGGATCCCTGGCTTTTGTTCTGGTCCCATACGACTTGATGGCTGTCTCCCCCTAGTGGTCTGGAGTTCTTCTCTTATGAGGAGCTAGTTTTAAATTTTTCTTAACTTGCGGATGTTTTTGCCTTTTGCAACATTTTCCATATGCTTCTCTTTTTGTGTTTGTGCATTGATCTAATTTTAGTGTAGCATAACTATGTATCTGCAGTGTGTTTGAATCAGGCACTAAATGTAAAACACTTCACACATCCATACGGTGATAAATAAAGACCAATAAATGAAGCTTGAGGACAAGAACTATTTCCTACCACTAGAAAAGTTTCCTTTCTGTCAGGAAGGACTGATTTAACCCTCCAATAGTTTAATCAGCTGGGATAAGCTTGGTATTTTTTCTGTGTGTTTGAATGTTACAAAACTGCTGCGATTTAATTAAATTTAAAACAAATTGATTAAAAATCAAATAATAGGCCACCAATGTGAAAGAGGCCAAGTTCAAAGCAGCTAAGAAGAAATTTTGAAGGGATTTCGCTGCTTAAATTACATCCATGGCCTTGAAGCTGTTGAAGAATGCTGAGCAGGAAGGGACAGAAAGAATATTAGATCAGACTAGATTCCCGAGGCCACAAATATCCTTTAATTGAAAAGAAAGTGGTTAAGAGTTAGGGACATTAAGATGCAAGGCAAAGGGGGATAATAAGTTCCCCACAAGGTCTTTGCATCAAGAAAATACAACCTGAATTTCCTAGAACTAATCAAGTGGAATTGATTAACTGTTCATCTGCAAGTGAGGTCAACTCCACACAAGGATCTTTCTGAACCGAACCATCTATATCATTGAATTTCTTTGTTGCCGAGTCAGTAAGTCTTTACTCTCCTCAACATTAAAAGCTTTAGAAAGGTAAATTTAAAAGTTCAAAAATCACTGGTGTGTGAAACTGAGAATGACCCCGATGATTCCAGGAAAACAACTGCTGCCAGCCAATACTGGCTAAAAAGCTTTTTTAACTAGTTTGGCCTCCACTATTCTGTACAGAGAAACATTCAGTTCAGTTGGAAATCAGTGGGGCAACTATTTCGCCCCAAAATCTGTAACACTTTCAAGTAAAAATGGTAAAAGATATGAGCCTCTCCATTTAATATATAGATGAATAAAGAATCATCAGGCTCCTCTCCTGTGGAACCAACTACCAGTTTTAGTCCATGAGGCAGACACCCTGTCTACTTTAAGGGGAGGCTCTAAACTTTCCTTTTTGATAAAGCTTATAGTCAGAGTGGCTCAGGTTATCCTGAGCTATCTCTATAGTTATGCTGCTATAGGCTTGGACTGCTGGAGGACATAGGACATTCATCATCCTTCTTCATTCTACAGTGTTTGTTAGTTTAAGCCTACCAAAACTGAGCCTGGTTTTGGTTCTGCTGGAGGTTTCTTCCTGTTCAAAGAGAGTTTTCCTGTCCACTGTCTGTGCAAGCATGCTTGATGTGAGGGATTTCTGAAGAATCAAAATCTACCTTCTTTATCTTCTTATCCAGCAGGAGAAAAACCTATGAACTGAATGACTGAATGTGAATTGGTGCTAGAGAAATACACTGAATTAAAATTAAATTGGAAAAAAATACTAAACACTAAAACAGTAGAGAAGAGGTGAAAACTAGGACTTATGAATAAGCAACATAACTGATGTTTGCAAAGTTCGATCTGAACAAAGAAAAGTAAGAAAAATCCTAGAAGAAATTGAAGAACAGATCAATTTCTGTGAAAATCCTTCAAAAAACAAAATTTCAGGGCAAACATATTATACAGAGCATCAAGCATTGTGGAGGATGGCTTATGATCAGGGCTTGTCTTAAAGCCACAGGAACTGTCAAAGTAAGATAAATGAATTATTGTGTTAAATGTAGGATAAGTTGTCTGACAGCAAGAGCTGGATCCATAGAGGGTCATTAAATGCATGGAACAGAAGAGGGGATTGTTGGGTTATATCCAAGTTCAATATTAGACTCTAACTTACCTGACATTAATGGAATAAACTGTAAATCCAGATAAAACTCTGCATGGCATGGAGATTAAATCCAGTTACTGCTGCTAAAAGTAGCTCTGCAGAACTACCAACCCATGCACTGCACTTCATTTTGCCTCTCATTTAGAAATCATCTAATGGGGTAAATATTTCTATTTAGAAGATTTAGAAGTGGATTTAGAAGTGATGAGGGGCAGATTTAGGAAATTTTGGGCCCTAGGCAAAGACAGGCAGGGGGCCTGAACTGAGAAGACAACACATAAAACACACCTATTATACAGATGCAGAATTTTTAATAGAATAGACATCCATTATGTGTTCTATGTTTTGTTCCTCTCTTCTTGTCCCTTTTCTTGTTGTTTTCCAAAACATATTTAATGTGCCCAAATAAGGAATAGCTGTATTAACCATACATGGAAACAGAGTTCCCCCAGGAACCTGGGGCCCCATAGGCAACTGCCTAGTATTGCCTAATGGTAAATCCCCCCCTGGGGGTGACTGACTTCATCTTCTTACTCTCATCTCCTCTGTTTGGAAAATGGAAAACAGATATGCTCCCTAAGATCTTTAAGGTACCTGTCAATGTTGGGTGTGACGCCCATCACCTCACAGGAGGAGTGGTCCTCCGTGGTCAGCCAGCTGCCCCGACCCTCCTTCTCCATCACTGCTGCCCCTGAGCATCGGTCCAGAGTGAAACGCACTTCCTGTCGAGAAAATAAAACAAGGAAACCTTCTTGAGAAATAACATTATAAAAAGCAACATTTTAGGTCTCTTCTTTCCAGTTAGTATTTCTACTAGTAGCAAACCGTTTCTCCTCTGCCTTCTTTACAGGAGCATAGCCCAATTTCTAGAGGTTTTGCAGATGTTTGACCCTTCTTGCAACAAGTTGAAATGACACCAATGTTGTATATGCGTGTGGTAGAAGGTGGAAAACGCCACCCGCTGGAGCAAAATCTTTCTGTCATCAGAACCTTATAATACCGAGCCGAACATGTCCGTACTAAAACCAGAGGGAGGCACAAAGAACAGAAACACATAAAAAATGTTCTCCAAATCTGTGGATACCCAAACTGGGCGTTTGTCAAACCAGCAAGGAAATCCAAAAGACACACAGCAGAACACAACGGTGAGAAGATGGAACGCAAAACCATCGCCCTCCCATATGTTACTGGAGTCTCTGAAAAACTCAAGAGGATTTTCTCCAAACACAGAACATTTCAAATCAAACAAGACCCTTAGACAGAGGCTAGTGCATCCTAAAGACAAAACCCCCAGACCTTAGATGAGCAGAGTGGTGTCTGTAGCTCAATGCAGTGAGGAATGCTCTGATCTTTATATTGGAAAAACCAAACAACCTCTTCAGAGACAACAAGAAGATCCACCTCCTCTGGACAAGACTCTGTGGTACATCTACACAGTTAGGACAAGGGACACTCATTTGAGGACTAGAATGTTCACATGTTGGACAAAGCAGACAGCTGGTTTGATAGGGGCGTGAAGGAAGGAATCTATATCAAGAAACAAAAACCAACCTTAAACAGAGGGGGTGGACTTAGCTTCCAGCTCTCAAAAACCTATAATGCAGCGATAGATTTAATTCCTTCCTCTGTCATTTCAACCCCCCCGCCCCAATGCAGGGGACCAAACATCTGCCGTGGGCAGCCAAGCCAACAATTACCCCTAATGACCCCCCTTTCAGAGGCATAGCCCAGTATCGGGCATTGAAGGCCAACAAAGAACCCAAAACGATTCCCCATTCCTAAGGAGTGGACCCATTCTTCTAGTTCAATTTGCATGTTTTCTAAGCCAAAACAAGGCTTTGTTTGGCTACTATATAAAGCTTTAAACTCAATGCTAATTCTGACATTTTGAATTGAAAAAGCTTCCTGGATGGGAAGATAAATGTCTACAAAGTTCAAGCCCACCAAGTCAAATGAAATGACTTTTTATCAGTGGTATATTTTTTCCATTAGCAGGTCCTGAAAACTTGTCTAAACTTAAATAAAATTCTGTCCATAAATGCCATTTAAATGTTTAAATGTTTATTATTCATAGACTTTTTCTTCAGGAATTTTTCAAACCAAATCTCATTATGGCCTCTTAATGACAATAAAGGTTACTGAGACCCACATCATCTAGTGTGGGTTATTAATACTGTACATCTTTTTGAAAATATATTTACATGATTTCAACATCTTTCCATGTTATACCAACGATTTTCCAAACCTCAGGGCTCCATTCTTCAACATTATTTATTAACTTTAAACCATTTTTTTGTATTCAGGTCATTTTATCAAGGCGCCCCAAATTAAATTGCCATCCAAACACCTCATTTAAAGTTGCGTAGTTAAAACATAATCAATAACTATTAAAGCCAGAAAGGCTTTATATTGGAGTCGTGCTTTTACATACATCAGCGATTTGTTTATGTGATGAGGTGCTGCACACAGACAAGCAAACGCACAGTTTATAGGAATAAAATGGCAATAAACAAGATGATGCCCCCCCCCCATTAGGAGAACTGCTGTATTCCTGAAGATTGAAGACCTAAGAGAAGGTTTAACTTCACCAATCATCATCAATTTATCTTCATTTCCCTGCAAACAGATGCATTAAAAGCAACACCTTCATTTATAAACTTTGTTTCAAACAAGCAGTGGTGCTAGTGAAGCTTTACAGTTCTAATCGGCTAATTTCTCATCAGCAGCGGCAGGAAAGGAGGAATTAAACGAGTTTTCAGAAAGATTTATTACCACCACCTGGCAATTTCAGAATACCGTCTGAGTAAAAAAGAAAAAAGAAAAACAAAAAACAAAAAAACAGACAGCTGGATGAAGACGATGATCATCATTACCATCATCATTGTCATCATCATCATCATCACCATCATCATCATTGTCATCATCATCCTCATCATCATCCCCATCCCCATCATTGGCATCGCCATCATCACCACCATCAGCATGGCCATCATCATCATCATCATTATCATCATCATCATCATCATCGCCATCATCATCATTGTCATCATCATCATCATCACCTCCATCATCATCATCATCATCCCCATCACCATCATCGCCATCATCACCACCATGATCACCTCCATCATCATCATCATCATCATCATCATCATCATCATCATCATCATCATCCCCATCACCATCATCATCATCATCACCACCACCATCAACATCGCCATCATCAATATCATCATCATCACCT